CATGGCGATCCAAACCTTATCTCCAGAAGCGAACTCCTTTGCCTTTATACGAGCATTACTAGCCCGGTTCATCGTAGTCAAGTACTTCTTTTGATAGCTAGGATTTATCCGCTCCTCCACGGGAACTCTCTTCACTGGCACAAACACTATGTTTGGGTGCTCTACTGGTTTATTCCATTCAAAAACTGGGTTATCGGGTGAATCTCCTTCTATCTCACAACGGAATATCCGGTCGACTTCTTGGTCATAGGCCTTTTGGCACTCATCATCCAGGACTGGATAAGGTTCGGATGCCGGGTAGCCATAAAGTACATCTATAGGCGCTTTGTTGATGGCTCGATGCCAATCCTTATTGTAGGCGATAATAACAGCATTCAGCACATCAATCCAACGGGTAGGGTTGTCACGTGGTGTATTTTTGAACAGACTTCGAGTTAGGGTTTGATTGGCTCGCTCCACTTGGCCCTGGCTTTGTGGATGTCGAGGACGGCCGTGCCTGTACTCAATGCCCAACCGCTTCATAAGACCTTTAACTTCGACATTAACAAACTCGCTGCCATTGTCGCTTTGTACTATCCGTGGACAGCCTAACATCATAAAGTAGAATTCCAGACACTGGACAACACTTTCACCTGTTTTTCGCCTCATTTTCATAGCTACTAGATACTTAGAATATGTGTCTATAATTGTCAAAATCCATCCATATCCATCGTTTGCCTCTGCACAATAGCACATATCAATACAGTCGATTTGCAGATGCTCCATTGGATGCTTAGATATAATATTCTGCACAGGAGTGCTTCGTTTTGGCGGAGCGGACTTTTGACATAGAGAGCAACTGAAACCTATTCCTAGAATGGTTTGTCGAGTGAAGCCCATATACTGCTTTCGCATTGACTTATAAATCTTCTTTGTAGATGCATGCATTCCTTTGATATGTATAGCTTGGATGAGGTTCTTTAGCCTCACAGTATCATCATTGCCGATTACTTTTAGTCCTTTCTTGCGTTGTTCAGATATGTAGTGCAACTTGCGCCCGTGGATTGTAAATCTGCCGGCAATTCTTTGAATTCGACACCATCGGAGCTTAGATAAACCAGCGGGTCGATTGCGATCTCCTTGTAAATACTGAGTTAGTTGTTCGATATCTTCCATAGTTAGAGTTATTTTGAACATTTCAAGTTAAATTCAAATCCCAAAATATATAAATATTCTAATCTTAA